TACTACTACTACTACTACTACTACTACTACTACTACTACTACTACTACTACTACTACTGCTACTGCTGCTGCTGCTGCTACTGCTGCTGCTGCTGCTGCTGCTGCTGATATAAGCAGCTGACTGGCTGTCAATTTCGACTGTAAATTCATAACCAAGCTACTGAGTACCTAACATTGGTATGGATCTAGCTCTATGATGTAGAATTCCAGGCCATCTGTATCATACTTTGATTGTACAGTTACAGTAGCTTTAACAAGAAGAATCACGTGTTAGATACATGCTACGGAGTAGTAATCTATCAGTCGGTGGCCTAAACTCCTAATACACAGCCCATGTTTCCCCCTTCCTGGTTGTATTGATTTTGCCCTTGATATATAAGGCATGGAAAGGCCATGATACTTGACTATGCAAGCGATTATCTATTTTTAAGATGATTCAAGCATTTTAGGGCATGATAGGCAGGTGAAACACTGCGTTAATGATGTAATAGAGAAAAAAACTTAGTTTCTCCTGACGAATTGACTGTACCCGCGATTTCCTAGACAAACTTCAAACCTTGTGTAGAGAGTAGCTGGTGCAGCGATACTCGGGATTACAAGGCTGTTCTTTGGTCGCACAATCGTCGCAATCGTTCAGAAAGGTGAATGTAAGAAGCGTACCAAGACGCTCTTATCTGTTTACACCATGGTTTCTTGGTACATCGTAGAATTCAAATGACTATTAGGCACTCCACAGTACCGTCGTTGTAATCCTTTCGTCCTCTTTTCTATACCCCGTGATCTTTCTACCCGCACTTTGATACCTGGCTCCAGTAGGTATTGATTGGCCGTCTGAAATGTGCCTCCTGATATCAAAGGCGCAGCGACGCAAAGTACGGCCCTTCGTAGCAGATTATTCAAGTTGTTATGTAATGTCAATGTGGTCTCCATCAGGAGACATGATGAATGGTAATTATGCCTTCTTCTAGATGCCATACACCGACCTTCCTACTACTTTTCTAACATGGGGATATAAGCCGCTCAAAACCGGATCCCAGACTCCTGCACAATGGAAGACTTGGAACAGAGAATGAAGGCGAGACAGGGTCATACAAATTCTGTATGGAAGCTTGAAGTCCTCTTCCAAAGCAATAGCACATCATAGGATCGAAGAAAATACCCACAAACAAACACCTTCCACGATTGTACAGGAGTGAGCCACTCAAATTATAGAAGTGCAAAAGGAGATGTGCCGATGACCGGTACACAGACTGAACGCTTGGATAGTCTGTCGGGCGGAAAGTCCTTGGGGAGGCTCAATCATTCGATGCGAGAAAGAGCAGGAGCTACCTAGGTATTAAGAAGGATATCTTATATGTCAGGTATCCTGTCTCACTCTATCAGACATGCCGAAGAACTCGTAAGTCTGATAAAGAAAGTATGACTGCGTGGAAAGGCTGGCTTTGTGAATTAAATAAGCCAAACTGACATGTCTCATCCAGGCGGGGTCTGCGAGGTTGCATCATCATTATGAGGCCGATCGAAAATCCGACTAAATGGGGGATCTGACAGGTGTAAGTCACTAGGTTCCGTGGCAACACCCTCGGCTCTGCGAATTTCTTCTTTCAGTGCGCGGGTCACAACGCCAGCGCGTACAACAAGATCCCGAAGAGACTGTGTATCGAAGGGTAGTTTCTTCGAGCGGGGAAGATGGGAGTTGGTGACTGGTGAACCGTCTACGTTGCGCTGTTGATAGATCAGATCCAGCACACAATTTGGCTTTGTTGCGGCCTCTCTGTAATCCTGACTGGGAGCAGTGGTAGGTCGAGAATTTGAGTTGTCCGAGAACGATAACCCCCAAGAGCCTCCGCTGACTCGTTTCCACGGATCATGCGAATTTGAAGAATCGCCTTCTGATTCATCAAAACTGAATGTGAGCGACGATGGTGATCCAGGCGGGGAATCGTTGTGGTCGTCATCATCCAGCGTGGCTAGATTGACGATACCTTCTGCCTCTTTCCATAGCTCGTTGGAGGAGCCCCGAACAAGATTGAGAAAACTTCCCTGGTGCCGAAGGCGCTTAAGTTCTTCAACCAGCAACGTCAGCTCCTGAACCTGTCCGAACTGCCCATGGAGACTAGCTTGACGCTCCAGGATGGCCGGGGGAACAACCATGCCGCGGCGTGGAAGGTTCTTGTTCGGCTTCCTGGCCTCGGTAGCTGGACCCTCCTCGGTATCTTCAAATTCGAAATCGCTGTCCCAGTCTTCACTAACACCTTTGCTCCCCAGGCCCCACGTCCCGAACTTGCTACCTGATGTCTGGCGCTGTTCGATAATGGTTGTAGGATCTCTAGTCACTGGAACGCTCTGGCTCCGAAGATGCAAAGTGCTGGGAGCTTTCCTTCCGGGTGCACGGCTGCCACGGGAGTCAGGCGTATGTTTCCCATGGACAGTCCGGGGCCGCCCATCCGGTCCGGAACCCTCACGGTCGCTTCTGGGCTGCTCAGACCAGTCAAAAATATTCATCTTAGGAGAAGTATCAAGCACGTCATTATTGAGGCTGCGGGAATCAGATATCACCGGCGGCTGCGCTTGGACCATGCTACTCGAAGCCCCTTGGAGAAAAAAATCATTCAGAGGATACGGTCGGTTCGAGCTTTTTCTCGTTAGGGAGGCGGTTGCAATGGATTCACTGGGCAGCGCAGCTAACAAACTGCGCGCATCTTCGTCATCTGTGAGATCAGATGGAAATGATATACTGCTTTCATCTTCGTGCAGGTCTGTTGGCACCGCAGAAACGAGGGATGGCATATTGCTGGGCGCTTGGGGAGCGTCCAAGTCACAGTGTATCCTAGACAGCGAGGGCAAGGTGTTGGAACCACACATATTCGGCCCTTCACTCTTCGAGGGGTTCGTCTCCCCGGGAGGTACTCGAGCACCAAAGATGCTTTCAATTCGAGGCGCATAGAGACCTGGATTGCTACTGGTGGTCACATGGGTACGAATTGAATCAAAGGCAGTATCGCTCAGGAAGTCTGTTTCGTCCTCATCGCCAGACGTGAAAATATTCGTCTCGTCGGATCCGATCACCGTGGACGCAAGTTCTGATGCAGCTAGTGAATGACGTTTGGGCCGCTGGCGAATTGAAGTTTGAAGTCTGGATAGAGGAACCGCATCTGACGTGAAAGGGCGTGCGCCAATATCATGAAAGTTGGCCATGTCTGATCCAGGATTATGAAGATGGAAAGGTAAGGCCCTGTGTCGTGAACCGAGAACATCCGTCATCAATGACATAGGGATTCCCGCTTGTAAGGTGGGTGACGGGCGGGTGAAAAATGTTGGATCCGTTATATTACGCTTTTCACGGCGTCTAGATGACGCTAGGATAGTTCCTTCCGTGCTCATACCGAACGGAAGGGGCGTCGAAATCGCCCGTCTCTTTGGGAATACCCGTGGGCTGTGCCCAGAGCCATGAATACTCGCGGTGAGCATGAAAGGTGTCGGGAGGCTTCGAGGATCTGCATCTTCAGCACGAAATGCTGCTTCACAACCAGCCCTTTCCGGTGGTATGTGATCATCAGGCGGTTGCGAAGCCTTGTCACCAGAAGTGAATGGGTCGCGGAACTGGACTAGTGAGGCAGAATTTGAGCCAACTAAGCCGCTAGTCGTTGCAGCTTGCTTTGTCGTGATGGAGGTAGCCAGAAGAAGTGCTGGGACAGAGCCACTATTCGGGACGATTCGTCGTAGTCCTTGATCTCTTGGCTTTGTTGCTGCGGAGAATCTGCGAGCCAGTCTATCCGACAGCCCATCCAGGGTGGCACTTATGTATGGTCGCCATGCATGGTCCTCAGAGGGCGCAATAATGTTGTCAGAGGTAGATGGGGAAGACAACATCAAGTTCGGTTCGAAATTCAAGCTATGTGTTGCCTTGTGACCAAACTTCTCCGATCGCTGATAACTGGTAGCAGGCCTGCGGAAATTGACCGTGGACGGACTTGGTGGGGTGACGTCCAGAGGCGGTTGAATGTTAGCATGTTGCGACAGAGGCCGCTTGAGCATTTTATGAAGCCTGCGCTGCGTGGAAGTCCGGGGACTGACTGGAACAGCTGGGCCGCTGGGTGACAAAGAAACGGGCGACTGGTATGAGCTACGTTTCTCTGGCTGAAATGAAAGTCGTCGCATCCAGGAGGTTGATGGTCGCCGGATTACGTGCGAGACTGCGGCAGGGCTATCGTTGGCTAATAGCGGAGGGCCAGCCAGCGTTTGTCCACGGCGACGCAGTCTTATACCTGCAAATGATGGGTTTCTCGAATGTTTCGATACCTCCCGCTGTGTTGTATTAGAATGGCCATCTTCATGGCCTTGGGAGAATTCTGCTTCGAGCGGGGACTCGGCAGCTGCAGTTGAGGACGGCTTGCGCAGAGCTGGGTGTACCCAGTTCGAGGTTGGAGATTCAGGTATGTCTGTCGCCGTCGCACATTGATCATGGAGTGGGAGGGTCCTCTTACGGAACCTGCTGGGCTTGGAGGGGCTTCGATCCACCCGACCGAACGCGAAGCCCGTTGCTGCAATACCAACGGTGCTAATGGCACATAACTAAGAGAAAGTAGACCAGTCAGATGCGCGTCTGAGCGAGGATCAAAGCTGTGATAGAGATCACGTTTTTCGCTGAGCAACGAGCATGAATGGCAGGCGAGGCGGGCGGATACTGCGAAGCTCTTAATTTTCAAGAACGCGGCACTTACTGTGGATACATGCTCCATTCTCAAAGGGCGCAGAGAACAGCGTCAAATACCACGAATCTCAGGTTCGCAGCATCGAAATCACTTGTGACCTGACCTCCCATCTGCATTATCATGCACGAGGAGGATCAGCTAGCCTGGAACATATAGATAAGATCCTATCCAGAGGGAGGAGAGATATGCCGACAGTCTGATCTGAGGTGTCTAGCGCGGATGCAGGAAGTGGCACAGAGACGACCACCGATCTTGTATAGGTTACTCTTACAGGGCAACACTAGGCGCGATGATTGTGTGCGTAGATGTCGTGAGGGCAATAGCGCGTTGGAGCCAGCTCTGAAGGCGGGGGAAGAGCTCAAAGAAGGAATGGAAACCGAGATTTGAAAAGGAATGTCGCAAAAGAATGAGGAGGCGAGAACACACGACGGGGAACTGACGGCGGCGACCAAATCCTTAGGTTGAGTGGCCCGGACAAATCGCAATTATCCCCGTTCGGTTGAAGAGGGGAGGGTGAGCGCGACAGTGCCTATTATTATTGGGGGGAGGGGAGGAAGGGGTTTGGAGAATTAGTAGAAGAGAAGAGAAGAGAAGGGAAAAGGAAGTAACAGCAATAATTAGCAGTACCGGTAGATAGCAGGATAATAAAGAAGAGTTAGGAAGACGAAGAAGAAGAGGAAGAAGAAGAAGAAGAAGAAGAAGAAGAAGAAGAAGAAGAGTAATAATAATAATAATACGATGGAGGAATAATAACAACAGAACCCAGAGCCGGTCATCGATCAACACTTAAAAGCCCCAGCAGTGGGACACAGCGGCCACTTGCTTTTCCTTCCCACGGGCGAGGTTCTTCTAGTTCTAGTCTAAACTCAACCACCACTTAATGACTGGAGAGGAATGAATCACGCTAGGAGTTCCCACCCCCAGCGAAGCACCCACTGCAGGGCGATTTCAATAGGTCGAAGATGAGATGGATTATGGATGAGATCTCCGTCATAAATAGTAACAAGTGGTTGCAAGTGCCCTTTGAAAAGGAACAAAATGGAAGTAAAAGTAACAGAAATGGAAGTGGAAAAGAAAAAGGAAAAGGAAAAGAAAAAGAAAAAGAAAAAAAAACCTCACCACCACAATAACAACGGCACGTTCTTTTTTGTGAAGCTTCCCTTGAATGCTTACCTACTACAGAGTACTCCGTAACTTATCCTGGACTCAATCTGATCTCAGCAAAGGAGAGCCGCCAACAGCTACGGGGATTTTTGGATCCAGCTTTGTAACATCTGCAAGGTCAAGCAAGCATCGTCAGTCACCTTCTGACTTCCAGTTACTCGTAGCTCTTACCCGCAATTCTGGCAGACCGCAGTCATGTTGATTGGAGAGGAAGGAGGGAAGTATGGAGCGGAGATTATATGCAGGCCATTTCCTGCGACCCTTCCATCACGAAGTGGCCAGCGCAAAGCATGCTCCAGGAAGTACAGTGCGAGAGAGGTACCGCCCTATCGACAGGTACCTTGACTCGATGTTGCATAGCACACTGACTTACTGAGATGGATGCAATTACTTATAGATTGTCAGAGCCCTCTGCCCCCCTACAATCAGGAAAGAGAGAGAATTTACGGTCGCTCACTCATTGATAGGTTGCTTAAGAACAACAGATCAGCTCAAATCAAAACAGAAGCCAACTTGCATCGATCCAACAGTCAGATTACTTTGAGATTCGATCTTGATTTGTGACCTAGCTTTGCACCCATGAGGCTAGTGATACCCCAGGTACGGAGTTGTTCAGGTCGAGACAAGGTGGAGTTAAAGTAAGTACGTGTATGTACTGTACAGTATTCACTACTCAGTACTCCGTACTCTCCTCTTGTAACTGACCCTCCTTGTCAGAATCTCAAATTATAATGGTGTAATTATGACGATGTGCGCAAACCTTGCACCGCCAGTTTTCTAGCGTGCACGATCCGATACCTGTGCGCTTGGTCCAAGAGTCCTAGACAAGAACTACCCGCCCCCTCTGATCTTAGCAAATGGCGTTTCACAAATTCAGTGGTCAGCTTGACTCTAGAAAATACTGGCGGTAGAGTCGAATTGAATTCACACTGTTAGTTAGTCGTGTGTTTTCTGTCAGCCGTTCATGAGGCCTGGAATAACCAAGCCAGTTACACCACCTCTTTATGCGTTCGCTGAAGGCCGGGCAACGGTAAACAAAACTTGCCCTATGATGCAATGGACTGATTTCTTGGGGAGTTCTCTGGAATTCGGCTTGCAGTGCGCCCGGTCAGGTACTGTTTGTGGACGGAGCCTGGAGGGCACGCTGTGATTTTGGAATGAGGGTCCGGTTGGTGACACCAAGCCGTCTCATCCCCACTTTAGCACCTGTAGGCTGTAGTAGTCCGTAGTTAGCTTTCGGATGGGCCGGCGAGAACTATGGTAGATATCGGAATTATATTGGGTGCTCACATATATTAGAAACCAAGATTCTACGTACCCGTACCTACAAATATATAGTAGCTTATGAGACTCTTGCTTGATAAAGGAAGAAAATATGTATCGAGCTTTCAGCCAAGGTAACTCATATTCTATTAACTTTCACCCCTAGACAGATGATCTCTGAACCGATATAATATGTACTGTACTCCGTAGCCCGTCAGCCTTTCAGGTACAGCACCTACCGAGGGTCGTTCCAAGGCACGGGATCGAAGATGCCTTCACCTTACTTTTCTCCAGTCCCACAGCGCACTTCCACCACTCTTTTTGTCCTTTCCCCCTTTCTAGCTCTTGCTCGAGCTGATAGAAAATTTCTGCCGCCCTTTCCTCGGCCCCAATTGCCCGCTACGTATTCGCTCCCGCTCCTGGAAAATGACGACAGTCCACACTTTGCATTACCCGCCAAGCGCGCAAGCCTTTTCCGAGAGTGGCTGGGGTTTGTCGACTTGTGTGTAAAGCGTACCGAAGAGAGCTGTAGCTGTGATGGATGATGGCAGGTGGATGGATGGATAAGTAATATGTACTCCGTAGCTCCCGATCCGTCATCGGCTCCATCTAGTCCAGGACATGCTAATTCAGTGCGCAAACAAGCATACCTACACAATACACAAGCACCAGCCGGCAAGCTTTGGCCATTATTCATATCTATCCCTCCGATTTATACAGTTACAATCCCCAGCACGCGAACAACCGAAAGAGGTTGTGAAGGAAAAAGTAAACCTGATAAAATACCAGGCGGCTTACTACGTCTCAGATGTCAAGATGCCAGGCCAACGGTGCCTATCAGTATCAGTATCTACATACCTGATCTACTCCGTCGCTCCGAGCTTAATTAGTAGGCCTAAAGACCATCCATCCATCACAATCGTGATTAGTGACAGATCACATTTGTCGGGAGGGAACGTGGGCTGCAAGTTTCCTCCCAGCCGAGGTGCTCCGCTTTTCCTGGTCCGGCCGATAGTCGGTCAGGCGGTCGGGATGGAGCTTTGAGCGTTGAACAGCTCGTACTACGTACTGTACCTAACTCACAAGTAATTACACTATGAAAGAGAATTCTCATTTCGGGAGCCGGAGTAGTCTACTTCAAATCCAGAGCCATTGACTGCTATGGCCAACGTCCTTGGACCTGCTATTGTTTCAAAAAGATGTCACATCATTGCTCTTGAATTGAGATCACAATGAACATCAACCACAATTATAGTCGAATGATCCATGATACCCGCCCCCCCCCTCTCCTTCCCCCCTTGACTGTCCCATGCATTATTACCCTGCTCCAGGTGCATCACCTGCTTTAATTATTCATCATTGCCTGAGCAACAAGAATATCTCCAATTGTGCCGATTTTCTTTTGGCCGCGCTTCGTATCCCAGGGCGTGTTCAAGCCTCTTGTTTCAGGATTTCCTTTTTGGCCCCATCTGTGGGCATAGACAGACATGAGCCCTTGCTGCTCAAGGCACCTTGGAATTGGTTACTTTTCCCCCACGCTCCCTTGAGTCCGTCAAAATCAGGCACCGCCCTTGCCCTTGCTTCTCTGACCCAAGCTGGGAGTGCGGCTAATCTCCTAGGCGTTTCCTGCATGTATCATCTGTACTTATCTCCTTGGACAAACCAGGCCTTGATTGGCGAATCTAGCAGGGGTTGCATGGTTCCGTGAACAACTGTCTTGATGCGAATCACAAAAAGACTAAAATTGACCATCCTTGCAAGAACCTATCAAGTCCACCGTAATTTCGCTCCCAGAGCCGGTAGCGCCCTTGAACGAGGCTTTGGTGTATATTGAATCGGTGGCTAAGCTGAACAGACCGGCGCCAAACGCTCCTCAGCTTGGGATTGGCGTGAAGGGGGAGCTCGACTATTGGCGGGTTGCTGTCTATAAAGCCAATGGACTTGCGGCGTTCTCCGGTCTTCGTGTGCTGCAAGACTATAGCATTGATCAATACGGAGTAGCTAGCAATGAGTTCACAGAGGCTACGGTGACTCCTGACATGGACGCTCACCACCAATGGTGATGTCAAGAAAGGAGGGAACCTGGAGAGTGTGCCGGTACAGCACATGCTCACCGCCTGCAGCCTAACAATGTAGCGCATAAGTTTGGTTATCTGAGATTAACCAATTCAGTTACTACTGTCATGATATTGCAATTCTGCCTGTGAAATTATGTACAGTAAGCAAGATAGTTACTTACTACTGACTCACTGGACTGCCCACAGGTAGGCCAAAAACAAGAAGGTAGGAACCCATGTGATTCATAGGCAAAAAAAAAAAAGCGAATTTCAAGTGTATGAGAGCTCAGACAAAAACTATGTACATAGTCACAATAGTCGGAGCTTGGGTGTCCACAGAAGATCAGTAAACTCGACCCGCATGTCCCCAGCACAGCTCGCCAGCCCATTTTGCTTCTGTGCTCATGCAACTCTGATTATCCAGATCTGTCCTCTGTTATATGTCGTTGCTCGAAAGGAGGCTATTTGTTGCGACCCTCGTTACCATGGTGTTAACTTCATCTTAGGAAACTAAAGGAGCCAGAACATGACCCTGTGCTGGAA